TAGGTGTTCTGGAGTAAATTGAAGCCATTGGTAAATTGAGGCCTAGGGCAATTTATGCTCTGATCAGAGCAACAGGACATTATTTGTTTATTTCACTATTAAAGCTTCTATTGTATGTACATCAAACATGTCCTACTGAGAACATTTCCACACTTGAAATTGTGGAGGAAAATGCTATAAAATACACTATGTTACACACATCCTAAAAATTAATTTAAAAAAAATGTGTCAAAAATATGTATGCGTCCGGTTTCTAAGTTTTCCCGGATCATCACCCTCTAATTACTGTTCATATAGGAAAAGAGGTAGAAGTGAAAGGAGATGTGGTACCAAGGCCATGTACAATGGTACGAGCAGCAATAAACTCAAACACATGAATGAATCTTTGAATATCCTGAACTCAGGCCAGCATGAACTTTGGGTCTCTAGAATCTACTGCTCTGGGCCACAGACACTTGGGATGGGAACATCTGGGTTGATGTGCTCAAAAGTCTTAAGACACCAGATTCCCAGCGGTCTTATGGTCCCACGGAATTGGTCTACTCTTCTCTATTAAGGGATAGTGTTTTCCCTTTGCTTAAAGATGATGCAGAGGCCACATCAGACTTGACCTGATATCTGTACCTAGAACTGAATGCAGAATAAGATTCGTTCACACGTGAGAGGACCATACAACACCAGGGTAAGTGTATATGGTAAATATTTCACCAGTCCTTCCTGAGTAGGACTTAATGCTGTTTTTGTAACTATACACTGGATCAAGGAGAATACCAAAGCATTTTAAAGACTGTAGGACACAGATCAGAATTGCCTTTGATATTTGGAGCACCCAAGCATCATCAGGAATTGATTGGGGTCATATGGAGTCCAGGTAGTTAATGGAGTCCCAGCCCTAAAACAGATCACACTGTGTCTACCAGGTCTACAGACACGTCCAGTGGTTTGGATCTTGGTCTCCAAATGTATAACTGGGATAGGTGTAAATGGTGGTTGGCATAACTACTATATTGATGTTTTTCCTCTCTGATACAAGAGGTGTCTTAATGAGTAAGACCAAGTAGAAATTGACCCCCTGGCCAAGATAATAAAACAATATCGTAATTTGGGTATAATGTTAGAAATCAGTGCTACTATTATCATCCTAAAGAAAGAATGAGTTAAGATCCCCAGGATATTCATATTTAAATTCCCAGTATGACCCTTAAAAATACAGTTCATGGGAGGCTGCTGCATCATGGTGGAGACAGATCCAAGTGCTATGTGGGTTTGGGTTGAGTTTGGTCAAACCTCCAAGTCATAAGTTCAAGCCATCTCAGCAAAAATTTATCAAAAGATGGAAGTTCTGCACCCAGGATTGAGCATGAACAGATTTTGAGGGCAAAAAAAGCTGCATGAGCAGTTGGCCCAGAGCCATCTCATCTGGTAGTATTGTGCCAAAGCCTTTGTCTTTGCTCACAACTTTTGACCACCTGATGGACAAAGACCAACTCAGATGGTTAATAGTTGGGTTGGCTGGGTGTGTTGAAACAAGTTAAAAATGGATGGCCGCCATATGAGATGTCATCTCAAGGGCGATCTTGAAAGAAAGGGGTCAGAGAAAAGTTCTCCCAATATAGACAGTACAAGGGAGTTCTCCTGGTCTTATTGCTTCTGTGGAAAGAGAAGTGACCTGAAGTAAAAGATATATGTATTAGTTTTCTAGGGCTACCATAACAAAGAACCACAGACTGGGTGACTTAAACCACAGAAATTTATTTTCTCATAATTGCGGAGGCTAAAAGTTAAGATCAAGCTGTTGGCTGGGTTGGTTTCTTTTGAAAGCCTCTCTCCTTGGCTTATAGATGGTCGTCTTCTCCTTGAGTCTTCACATGACCTTCCCTCTGTGTGTGTCTGTGTGCTAATCTCCTTTTTTTATATGGATACCGGTCATATTGGACTAGGGCCCAGCCTAATGACCTCATTTCAACTTAATTAGCTCTTTAAAGACCCTCTTTCTAAACACAGTCACATTCTGAGGGACTAGGGGTTAGGACATCAACAAGTGAACTTAGGGGAACACAATTCACCCTATAACAATATATGAACTCATGGGCAGTGGCAAATGGATGTTCCAGTCCATTCCCATCTGAAGTTAATCGCAGCTCCTGATGGCATCTCATGAAGAGGAAAATCCACCCAGCCAACCCATGGAATCATGAGAAGTAATAAAATGATGGTTACACATTTAATCAAATTTATAAGGGAAATGGACACACAATGCAAGATGTACATTTCAATCACACAGTCTAAAGAATTTTTATGAATAAATATATTATGTAACAATACCTTAATCAAGATATAGAACAACAATATGAATACTCCAATTCCCTCAGAACTCTTTTGGAGTTAGTTGTTTTTCCAAGCCAGTTTCAGAAACATGGACCTAATTTCTATAACTATAGATTAATTTTGCATATTCCAGAATTAAATATAAATAGGTTAATATAGTGTAACTTCTTTGGTAAATGTTTTTGTCCATCAGCACAATACTTTTAAGATTCATCTATGTTGTTGCCTGTCCTAACAGGCATTCATTCTCTTTCTTACTGGTTACTATTACATTGTATGAATAAACCAAAATTTGTTTATTCCTTCAGTTGCTGATAGAAAATTGTTTTTTCCTAGGATTTTGGCCATTATGAATAAAGCTGTTATGCACATCCATTACAAGTCTCTTTGTTGTCTTATGTTTTCATTATTTGTATAAATACTAAGGCTGTAATCCATTGATCATGTGATAATTATATCATTAACTTCATAAGAAACTGTTGGACTTTTTCCAAATTGGTTGCAATATTTTATCCTCCTAAGAGCAATTTAGAATTCCAGCTACTTCAAATCCTTGTCAACACTTGGTATTGTCAGTCTTTTTAATTTTAGCCATTGTAGTGAGTATGAAGTGGTAGCTTACAAAGGTTTTATTTATATTTTTCCAATAATAAATATTGTTAGGGTCTGTTGGCCATTCATATATCATGTTTTATCAAGTGTCTATCCAAATATTTTGCCCATTTGTTCCGTTTCTTTTTCATCTTATTATTGAGTGGTAAGAGGTTTGCTTTTCTTTCTTTCTTTCTTTTAATGTACTCAGGATAGAGGATGCTGGTCAGATATATGTGTTTTGCATATAACTGCCCTCTCTGGGGCTTACTCTTTTATTTTTGGAATTATAGCTTTGGAATAGTGGGAGTTTTAAATTTTAATGAGGCACAGTTAATCAGTTTGTCTTTTATAGTTTTTGCTTTTTGTGCCCTAAGAAACTGTTGCCTATACAACTGATAAATTTCATTTCATTTAGGCTGTCACAAGACAAAGCTAGGAAATATATGTTACCTATGTATACACAAATATTTATAAACGCTTTTGTAACTCTGTGTGTGTGTGTGTGTGTGTGTGTGTGTGTGTGTATAACCTTGTAGCCACAGAAAATGTCCCTGTGCCCATATGGTTCCCTAAGTCTCTGCCAGGTATGCCATCTGTCCTATAGGTGTTCTCTTTCCAGGATCCTCCTGATTCCAAGGTTCATGGTTGAATTCCAGGGAGAGTGAGATCCGGACAATTGGTGTGTAGATTTTGCAGCCTCCTCTATGCCTATTAACCGCAACTATGCCCACTCATATTCTCGATTCTTTGCAGGAGCTCTATCTTATTCTGAGAGTTTAAACATGAAGACATGCTTATTCGATGATTGAAACTGGGGATCTGGATAAGTTAGGTGGGGATCATAGACATGTAAATATCAGGCAGTGCCTTTATTCCTGACATTGCATGTAAGTCCACTCAGATGTCTGAGTCTGTGCCACAGCACCATCTCCCCTGCAGGGTTTCCCCTCCCAGAGAGGACCCAGATGTGCTTGTACCCTTGGGGCTCGAAGGTAGGGAACACGTGCATTTGAGTTTGAATGAGTGGATTTATGTAAAACTACATGAATCTGGTACTCTAGTTGGTAAATTTGTTTTCACAGGGGTACATGTTGACATTTCTGATACTACTTTACCTATTTACTAGGGTTGAACAAATAAGTAAATAAAATAGGAGTCAGGTTCTTACCGTAAGAGAAAAATGGTACAAATAATCAATAATTTTGTAAATCCAAAATTATTCCAAAATTTTTAAAAACTTAGTTAAATAAAATAAAGAAAGAAAGAAGAGACTGTTTTTCGAAGGACTCTGGAAAATTTTTAAGTGGATAAATTATGTTCATAGGAACACTTCAATCAATTCCCCAAAACAATCATTGTTCAGACCTCATTTTTACCATAAAGCTGTAAATCCTCTACAATTCCAATCTATGTCTACATCTTATATTTTTACAGTGTTTATGGTGCTGTATTTTATTTTTGGAAAGAGGTTTTCTTTTAAAGTAGTCAAATTTATCAATATGTTCCTTCATATTTGGTGCCTTGTGTGATTTGAAGTCCTAAAATATTCCCTTTTGCATTCTTATAAAAGTTTAAGTTTTATATTTTATTCTCTGGACTTTATTATGACGAGGAGTGATTTTTATATTTGCAATAAACTCTTGATTCTGTGAGAACAAGAAATATCTTCTCCCTCACCCAATGATTTTTGGTTCTGCAAATCATCTGGGGAAGGTCCAGGGCATGTCAGGTAGAGTCTGACCCCAGTCTCTCTGGATTTCTTCCTTTGTCTGGGCCCAGGGCTCTTGCTTTTGATAGGATGAGGTAGTGTCAGAAACTCTGGAATGAGAAGGCTTAGGGTCAGTCATGCTGTTGCTGGATGTATAAAAGATAAAAGATCATTGAGGAATTGAGACAATAAAGGGAATTTGTCACCAGGGTAGGGTTTGTCAGCTTAGGATTTATTTTTGTAAATTTTATTGATGCATACGCTACTTGCAGAAAGCAAACAAAACTTAAGTGTGTAACTCAATGAATGCGTACAAAACTAACTCAATTCTGTTAACATTATCCAGATCAAAGAAAAGACTATTAAAATCCTAAAATATTTTTATAGGACCAGTTATTGTAGTCAGTGGAGGTGGAGTCTGGTATTGATAGTTCCTCTGGATACGGGTCCATTCACAACGACCAGATGTGGAGGGGACACACGTGTAGTACAAGGAACGGCTTCCTTCCCATATGCTGTAGTTACAGCCTCTTTGTTTCCACACACACTCTGTGAAATCAGGTTCAGGGCAGGGGCCCCAGCACCGGATGCAGGGTTGAACCTAGGGGTGAAGGGAGATACAGGACTTATTGCCACTCCCTTCCCACCTCCTGTTCGCACACCCCATCCTGAAAAGAGAAGGGCAACAGGGGTCTGAATACAGGTAGAGGCTAAAGGGGACAGTGAGAGGGGCCAGGAAACAGGAATGAAGTGGAAGGGAGGCCAAGAAACAGGAAGGAGGCAGTAAGGAGGCCAGGAAACAGGAAGAAGGTGAGGGAGCAGAGGTCATCCAGAGAGGGAGATAACAGGGAGGAGGATCTGGGAACAAGGAAAGGGGACAAGGACAAGTGCCGGGGCTGCAGAGAAAAAATACTTAGGAAGACTCTTACTTGACATTTGCATCCCATTCTATACGCTGCCTCGAAACCTAATCTCTGCTCTCTGGTGAGCCGGTGCCAGAAATATACCAGGTGGCATCTTGTGAAGTACAGTTTCCCTCTCCTCAGATAGCCTGCAGTGATCAAAGGGAGTGGCCCTAGAGTCAGCACAGTGTGTATAGCTGTCCCCTGGGAAGGACACGCTATGGCCCCTAGGTAGTCAGCCCCAGAGGATCTGGAAACCCGGAGGCTGGTACAGAGTCAGCCATGAATGACAGCCCAGCATTTCCCCAGATCATGGAGAAGGGCCCTTGGTCCTCAGTGGTGCTAGAGCTGAAGAAGTGGAGTGGTCCTTTCAGGGGAGTAGCAAGTTTTAGGGTTGTACATGGACAGGGGTACACACCTGCAATGAGTAATTGTGATTGTTGAGTCGTCCTCAGCGCATAACCACAGTCCTCCCAACGCAAGGGTGAGTAGATGTCATAGATTCTCAGAAGATTCTTCCTGGGAGCCTTGAGTATCTGTGATAGGAGGGAAAGAGAGGCTAGGACCTTAGATTCTCATAGAAGTTGCTGGGCTCCAGAAACCATCCTATTCTGTTAGCAAGAGCAGATTGGAGAGTCTTGTTTGTTTTGAGGAAAGGGGGTAAGAAGGAAGGAGGTATTGGGTTTACCTGAGTGACATTGACTTGGAAGGCTTGTTTTGTCTTGGTGTTGTTTCCTCGTCCTATTATATCAGCTAATAGGACTGGGAGGAGCAAGAAATGAGTCAGAGACCCATAGGTTCATTGATTTAAGATTCCCCCATCCTACGTCTGCTGGAGTTAATGTTCAGATCACCAGAGCTCCCCGACCTCTGCATTTCTACACCCCATGGTGAGCCCCCCTCCTTGGTGGAGAATTCTCTGGTGTCTCCCTAGACTCACCAATGTCTGATGTGCAATAAAATGTCTGAGGGTGCTGAATTTTACAGCTACAAGCATTGCAAGGTGTTGACAGAGCCAGGAGCAAAGGAAAAGCCAGCAGGAATGAGGGATCCATGGTGGGCCCTGGAGGACACAAGGCATAAATCAAAACATGAACTTTATCTAGTCCAGCTCCCCCATCCACCTCTAGACAGAAACTGGGCTGGCTTTGGAGGACTGTCTACCTCCTTTAATGTCAAGGGACCTAAAAGATTGGGTCCATCTTTCATGATCTTGTGGGCCAGATGCACGAAGTCTGTGCTCCACGTCTAAAACGCCTTACCTCTGTCAATCTGAGCTGATATACCACAGCTTCTGCAGAACATCCAGCATAATGAAAAATAGTCATCTGCATTTCCTTTTCACCCTGGGGCGTGTCCGTCGGAGAGTACAATCTGATTACTCGGTGTACTAGTCACTTGTTCTCGTTTTTCTCTTATTTGCATTTCCTTCTCATCCTTCAGGCGTATCAACCAGGCAGGTGCGGTCTGATTATTGGGTGCACTTGTCACTTGGAATCCTTCTCTGTATGGTTATTCAAAAAGCCACCAACTCCATCCATTCCTGGACAATATTATGGGCAGAACTGTGTCCCCTAAAATTCACATGTTGGTGTCCTAACCCCTAGTCCCTCAGAATGTGACTGTTATTTAGATAGAGGGTCTTTAAACAGAGAATGAAGGTAAAATGAGGTCATTAGGCTGGGCCCTAATCCAATACAACTGGTGTCCTTATACGAAGAGGAGATTAGGACACAGACACACGCAGGGGGAAGACCACGTGAAGGCACAAGTAGAAGATGGCCGTCTATAAACTAAGGAGATACTCTCAGAAGAAAACAATCCTGCTGATACCTTGATCTCAGATGTCTAGCTCCAGAACTGTAAGGAAATACATTTCTGTTATTCAAGCCACTCAGTCTGCGGTACTTTGTTATGGAAACCCTAGAAAATTGACTCCTTTGTTTTATTTTTAAAAATATATTTAGGATCTTATACAATTTAAATTTGCATTGGGATTTTTGGAAAACAAAATCACCTCCAACAGCAAATATACCAAACAAGATTTATCCAGTCACCCAACTTCTATTCCTTCCCCACACTTCCATTCTCTGCCCCACCCTCTACAGGCTTCCATTTATTATATTATGGTTTACCCTCCCATTATTCTTTTAATTGACACATCTATAAGCACAGACATAAGCACATTCATCCTCTCTTAGGTAAAATTGTAGGACACTATGTACAGCTTTTCCCATCTTACCATTTTTATTTTATGACATCTCCTAAGATGACACCACAGTAGTATATATTTCTCATTCTTTATACAGTGTATAATTCTTCATGTTGATATACCCTAGATTATCCAACCAGTTCCTAATTATTGGTCCTTTTGATGGTTTTCCGTTGTTTGCTCTTACAAATAGTACTTTGATGGATAAGCATGGGAATACATCTTTTCTTATATTTGAAAATATGTCTTTAGAAGTGATTTCTAGAAATAGGATTGGGTTAAGGGCCATTTGCATTTTATTTTTTCTGTAACTTGTCTATATCTTGCCTTATTTTTCTATAGGGTTGATTGACTTTTCCTCTATATTTAGAAACTACGTATTAAACATATTAACTCTTCATAATATGATTGCAAATGTTTTTCTCCTGTAACATTTTACTCCTCTTGAGTTAAAAAATATATTTAAAATAATCAGTTTAACAATGCTTTGATTTAATGCTTCTATAGTTAGCAAAGTTTTCCCCTCCTAACAGAGATTGGAGGATTTTAACCGTGATTTCATCCATCATTTTCATAATTTCACTTTTTATATTTAGATCTCTAACCCATTTGGAATTTCTCTTAGTATGAGCATAATGCATGGACACAATTTTATCTTAGTCTTTATGGATATCCATTTAACCCAAAACATCTATTACAAAGATATCTCTTCCCTACTTAATCAAGATGTCACCTTTATCATATACTAAATTTCCATATGCATTTGAGCTATATCACGATTTTCTATTCTGTTCAACTTGTCTATGTGTCCATTCCTTCATCAATACCACATTACAGAGACTTTAAAACAGAATTGAATATGTTCTAGATGTTTTAATATTCTTCTAGAGAAGAATTTTTTTTCTTTTTCATTTTTTGCTTTTATCAACTGATAGAAGATGCCCCCCTGTTTTGTCTCAATGAGCCTTTCCTTTCCATCTTCAAAGCCAGCAATGGCTAGTCGAGTTTTTCTCACATCACAATACATGGACTCTTCTGCCTTCTTCCATATTTAAAAGATCTTTGTGATTACAATGGCTCCTCTCTGATAAGGAAGGATACTCTCTTTATTTTTAAGTGAGCTGATTAGCAAACTCAATTCCATCTTCAACATTAATTCCTCCTGTAACATTCACAGGTTCCAAGGATAAGGATGTGGTTATCTTTGGAGGGGCATTATTTTGACTACTATAGGGACGAACACACACACACACTCACACACACACACGTTCTTCCTATCCAGGGACATAGAAAATCAGAGCTCCCCCAGACACACTCCATCTCTTTTACATTTTGTGAGGCATTTCATTGGAATACCATCTCCAGGCAAATGGAGCCACATTGCTATATTTCAAGAAAGGGATAATCAGTTAAATTGTTTTATTTTTCAACTTTATTGCATAAAATAGTCACTGTTTTCTCTTAGTCTGGCTTGTTTTTTTTTTTTTTTCTCACAGTGTCTTTTGAATAACAGTATTTTCTTTTAATTAAGTACAAGTTATTTTTGAAACCCTTTATGCTTTATTTATTTATTTTTTTTTGTGAGGAATATCAGCCCTGTGTTAACATCCATGCCAATCCTCCTCTTTTTGTTGAGGAAGACTGGCTCTGAGCTAACATCTATTGCCAATCCTCCCCCTTTTTTTCCCCAAAGCCCCAGTAGATAGTCGTATGTCATAGTTGCACATCCTTCTAGTTGCTGTATGTGGGACGCGGCCTCAGTATGGCCGGAGAAGCGGTGCGTCAGTGCGCGCCCGGGATCTGAACCCGGGCCGCCAGTAGTGGAGCGCACGCACTTAACCGCTAAGCCATGGGCTGGCCCCCGTTCATGCTTTTTTTTGTCCAGTATAGGAATTCTTGCCTATGCCAAGGTTTCAAAAATGTTCTATTTTCCTCTAGAAGTAGTAGGCGTAAACTTTTACTATCAGATCTATGATCCATTTCAAGTTAATTTTTGTATGTGGCCTGGGGGACAGAATCAAAGCTAATAATTTTCCACATAACATCAACTGTTCCGGCATAATTTCTTGAAAAGACCCATTTTCTCCATTGTATTACCTTGACCTCTTTGTTGAAAATTAACTCATCCTATGTGTGTGGGTTCTTTCTGGATATTTTCTTCCATTATCTACATATCTCTTCTCATGCTAATATCATATTTTGTTACCGTAGCTTTATGATATACTTGAAACTTGATAGTGTAATTCTTTTGAATGTGTTCATTTTCAAAGCTATCTCGGCTATTTCCATTGCACGTGAAGCCCATTGCATGCACATTTCAGATACTGCTTGTCAATATCTACAAAAACACCTGCTGGGCTTTTGACTGGGGCTGATTTGAATCTAGAAATGATTTTAAGGAAAACTGACGCCAATATTGAGTCTTCTGATCCATGAGCATTTTATATCTCTCCATTTATCATACCATTTTAAATTTCTCTCTGCCATGTTTGGTATTTACAGTGTTATGAATCTGGCACATATTTTGTTAAATTTGTTGTTAACTATTTCTTATATTTATGTCACTGTAGTAGGTATTAATTTTTAATTTCAGTTTGTAATTGTTCCTGTCATATACGAATACAAGTGAATTTTGCACCTTGTTCTTGTCTCCACAACCTAGCTAAATTCACTCATCAAAGTAGCTTTTCTTTATATTTCTAAGAAATTTTACATATAAGATTATGTCATCTGTGAATAAAGACAATTTTTCTTATTTCTTTCTAATCATTTTGACTTTTATTTCTTTGAATTGCCTTATATACTGACTAGAATTTTGTTACAATGAAAAATAGAGGGGATGAGAGTAGAAATCTTTACTCTGTTGCTGATCTTAAGGGGAAATCATTGTCTTTCACAATTAAGTATGATGTTAGTTTTAGGGCATTATTATACATTCTTTTTTTTTTTCTTCTTTTTCTTTTTCTTTTTTTTGTGTGTGTGAGGAAGATTAGCCCTGAGCTAACATCTGTTGCCAATCCTCCTCTTTTTGCTGAGGAAGATTGTCCCTGAGCTAACATCTGTGCTAACACCTCAACCTTCCTCTACTTTGTATATGGGACCCTGCCACGACATGGCTTGATAAACAGTGTGTAGGTCCTTGCCCAGGATCCGAACCTGTGAGCCCCAGGCTGCCAAAGTGGAGTGCGTGAATTTAACCACTATGCCACTGGGCCGGCCCTGATATACATTCTTTAAGAGGCTAATAATGTTCTCTTCTATTTCTATGTTGCTGAGAGATAGTATCAAGAATGATTGTTGAATTTTGCCAGATTTTTTTTCTGCATCTACTTACATAATTAAATAGGTTTTCTTTAACTATTTGGTTAATGTAGTAAGTTAACATTATTTGGGTTTCCTAAAGATAAACCAGCTTTGCTTTTGGTGCCTAAATCCCATTCAGTCACGTATTGCTAGATTTAATTTGCTAATGTTTTCTTATGGAATTTGTGTGTATGTTCATGAGAAATATTGATGTTAGAGGGTATTTTTTGGTATTTTCTTTGATTTTAGTGTCAGGATAATTTTTCAGTGATAAAATAATTTAAGAAAAGATTTAGTTCTCTTTTATTTTCTTAGAGTTTTTGAATGAAGGTATTATTTCTTCCTCAAGTGTTTGTTAGAA